ACACGTGTCGTGTCAGTCCTTTGACATTCGCGAATATCCACTTCCAGAAAACATCCTGTGTTGGTTTAACACGAATAAGTAAAGGTTAATTACCTTAACACGTTAATTAATGAAAGAAGAGTAGTCAAAACACTGTCGTTTCCTGCCCAGGACATCACACCCCTACACGCTAAGGTCGGTGAGAAGCATTCTAATCAAAGAATACACACAGTCAAGACATTGACTTTTCTACGAGACTCACGGTATGTAGTCATAATCATCAGTTTATTACATTGTTGAAGGTGCATTTTTATTCAAACTCAATTAAATGAGCAACACTATACGTTTGTGGACATTTGAGATTTGCCTAGATATGTGCGTTTCGTTTTATTATTCTGCAATCCATTTTTAGTATTACCCGCTGGCCCGGCCCGGCCCGGCCCGACTTTTCTTGGCCCGACTTTTAGGCAATCCCTTTAAATACCGCGATCAGAGACACTATAAAGTGGTATTTTGGTATATTATACTAGTCTAGTCGATAGCTGTGAATCCATTATGATGTTACATCTGTAAGGTTTAAAAGTTGATTTTGACAGCCCTTGCTAAGTTGGACCGAACACTTCTGACAGAGATTTTCTTAAGAAAATACGGTAAAAGTGCTTGACTTTAACGGACCAGTTTTCTTTCAATGTGATGTACTGTGGCATTATAAAGTAGTATATTGGTAGATATTATACTAGTCTATATACGTAAACGCATTTGATGATACATCTGTGTGTTTAAAGTTGATTTTGACAGCCCGGGCCTAGTCGGAACTAACACAAGCCAAACACTTCTGATAGAGGCTATATTGAGAATGTAAAGGGGAAAAGGGCTTCACTTTGAACACCTTGTTTTCTTTAAATACTGCGATCTGAGACACCACAACGGGGTATATAGATAGATAATATACTAGTCTATAGGGCGTGCAGGCCATGGGAATCACATTCACTTTGTTCTGTCCAAGTGCTTGTTGAAAACAATCCGGGCTACATGGGGTCGGGCGTTGTCATGTTGAAAAATCATGCCAGGTCCATGTTGATTCGAAAACGGTACAACGATAGCCTTGATGACCTCGCCTAATTGCCATTGGCCACTTGCAAACGACTCTCTCGGCGAATCCTCCCTACGCCTCCCCTGAAAAGGTCTTCCTCGACAACACAGTTTTGAGCGTAATGTTCACCGCGACGTCGGTACACTCGTATTTGGCCATCGCCGTGGTAGAGGTGAAAACGAGGCGTCGGTGAACAGAGCAGTCTCAACCGAATTGCCTCCCAACGTACTCACTGACTACACCACTGCAGACGCAATCGGCGGTGATTGTTGGTCAGAATTGGGCATCCCGCTGGCCTCCTCGCAACAATCCCGTAACGTCTCATACGGCGACTTCAAATAATGATTGAAATTTGATGTGTTTCAAGTTGCAGTTGTCAAGACAAGCAGAAAAAATGCATACCGAATCCCTACAACACGCGTGCTTTTATACCCTGGTTGAAGTCATCAATTGCATGATTGCGGCATAAAAGACATTTTTGCCATCAGATCATGCTTTTCTGCTGAGGTTGCGTTTGTGCTATATGTTTTCGTATTTTCGTATCCGATTTGAACACAAGTTTTTTCTTGTATACAACCAATTAGAAAGGGGTGTCACAGGAACTTTTGTTGCTGAGTATATATGAATACTACAGAAATACCTGATACAACGAGTCTCCATTTCACAATGCCTTGGTATAACTTCCCTGGGCGAACTTCATATCATCCATCTTGTGTGAGGGCCTATGAATGAAATAAAACTATATTCTGCAAAAAATAGGAAACGCAAAAGTGATTTTAGATGTATATTTTATATATCATATAACCAATCATCGTCTTTTGCTGGTTACCAAGTCATGTAGGCATAGCAGATGCTGCTCCTGAAGCAGCTCTTGACCAACCGTTATCTCCACTACTTATTCCATACAGTGATTTCAGACGAACTATCAACAGTTATACTCGGGATCTCATGCAAAGGAGTCGGGAAATCCACGTAGGAATCAATAAACTTCACGAATTTAAACCAACAATCGGTCAAACCTACGTCGGTTGTCAGTCAAGACATGATGCGGTCGTTTTACGACGATGTCGTATTGGCCATTCTTGTTCTACTCATAAATATGTGTTGCAAGGTGTGGATCCTCCATGTTGTATCCCTTGTGATGAGAGATACCACCACAATGGATAAATATTTCAAATCATCATCTCTTAAGGATCTTTTTAATTGTATTTGTTCTCATTGAATTATAGGCTTTTTAAAAGAAATTGAACTTATTGATGTATTTTCGTGTACACTCTTCAAAAAATGAAACGCAAATGTGTTTTGAGAATTCCAATTAGATTTTTCCCCACACCAATCGTCATAAAGACAATTCTTATGTTTGATTCCCGTTAATCATGTCATGATTGTTGTGCATTGCGCGCAAACACACCTCATAATGTTTTTTTTTGTAAACGTTTATCAGCAAAAATGCAAAGGATGCGCGGAAATTGCTGTCGGAAAGGTTTTCTGCACAACGCACGTGCAAACTGTTGAAAACAAGAGTAGAGGCTATAACTATACAAGACCGTACAAGATTTATCAGTTCATTACGAATTTTCTGACGTGAACGGAGATCGAAAAATGCCAAGATTATCTGCAGCTGACCGAAATATCGCCATTGGACGTTTGGAAGCAGGGGAGTCCCAGTCTGCTGTTGCAAGACACTTCAACGTTCACCAAAGCACCATATCTCGACTATGGGATCGATATACCCGCACTAATTCGACTCAAGATCATCCCAGAAGTGGAAGACCAAGAGTGACCACCCCTGCTCAGGACCGGTTGCATCACCTTCGGAATCGATTTGCTACAGCAACGGACACTGCAGGACAAGTGCCTGGTATGCGAAGAATTTTCGAACAAACCATCAGAAATCGTCTGAGGGAAGTGGGAATTCGAGCGAGACGACCAAAGGTTGGACCTGTCTTGCGACGTGTCCGGTGGTGCAACAGAGTACAGGTATGGGATCTCAGGAACTGGCGACGCGTTTGGTTCAGCGATGGGTCAAGTTTTCTTCTTCAACGACAGGAAGAAAGACAAGGTGTATACCGACGTCGACATGAACGTTTTGCGCCGAACTGCATTCGACAGGTGGATCGATTTGGTGGAGGGAGTGCCATGGTGTGGGGAGCCATGTCCTACACGGGTAGATCACAGTTAGTGGTTGTCTAGGGCAATCTTACAGCAAACCGATACATATACCAAATTCTGCGGCGTCAACTCCTCCCAACTTTGGACCGCCAGAGGGAGCTGTTCCACACAGCACGTGCAACAATTAATTTCCTTGTTAATGAGAACATCAATGTCCTTCCATGGCCGTCCAAATCGCCTGATCTCAACCCGATTGAACATTTGTGGGACGAACTAGATCGACGCGTCCGTCAACGTCACCAGCATCCCCACATACTGGTACAACTCGCCAACGCCTTACAGGAGGAATGGCGAAGAATTCCCCACGAAAAAATCCGACGACTTGTGCAATCTGTGCCAAGGAGGTGTCGAGCAATGACGACTGCAATGGGTGGTGTGACCAGGTACTTACCATGACGCCCCCTTGTTGCTACACATGTGCAATGACTGAACTGAATAATGCTGACAATGACGACAATGCTTTTGTCGATCACTGTGTCTAATTTCATTTGATTGTGTTCACGCACATTCTGTGTAGATACTTTTACATCCGCTTAATAAATGTCCATATTTTTTAACTATGCGTTTCTTTATTTGAAGAGAATACATATTTGATTCGTAAATCGGTCGTGTTTAATTATGAACTGAGATTGTTTACTGCTGTGTCCTTTTGACGGCGGTTAAAGTACTGTAAAATGGTTGTCCCCCTGTTAGAGTATCTTAAGTCCATATCATTCACAGTATGTTATTTCTATCATAGTTTTAATCGTAGAATATGTGTTCTTTTAAATTTCGGCTGAATTAGCAAATAGTCGCCAACACCTGAAGGGATGGTGTAAATCCTGCTTGGGTCCACTGTAGGTCCCATGGACCTTAGCATGTTTCTGGCGATCTCTAGCTTTTTATATTGTATTGTTACATATATTGATATCTTTTTATGGTTGTATGCTAGTTATGAATATAAACCTGTGATATTCTAGTTATTTTACTGTCCATCGATGACAGGTTTTTATTTAGTCTAAATGTATGTATTATTAATGTATAACTTCTCGTCACGATATGGCTGAAATGATGTCGAAGTGACTTTAAATATCAATTCACTCACACACTCACTCTGTTCACTTTGAGGTCTCAGTGGTCACATTTTGTTGACTTTGCAGTCACTGTGGTCACTATGTAGTTCTGTGGTCATAATGTGGTCACTGTGGTCATATGTAGTACTGTGGTCACTATGTGGTCACTGTGGTCACTATGTAGTACTGTGGTCATAATGTAGTCACTGTGGTCACTATGTAGTACTGTGGTCAGTATGTAGTACTGTGGTCATATGTAGTCACTGTGGTCACTATGTAGTACTGTGGTCGTAATGTAGTCACTGTGGTCAGTATGTAGTACTGTGGTCATAATGTAGTCACTGTAGTCATTGTGTAGTACAGTGGACATAATGTAGTCACTGTGGTCACTATGTAGTTCTGTGGTCATAATGTGGTCACTATGTAGTACTGTAGTCATAATGTAGTCACTGTGGTCACTATATTGTACTGTGGTCAGTATGTAGTACTGTAGTCATAATGTGGTCACTGTGGTCAGTATGTAGTACTGTTGTCATATGTTGTCACTGTGGTCACTATGTAGTACTGTGGTCATATGTAGTCACTGTGGTCAGTATGTAGTACTGTGGTCATAATGTAGTCATTGTGGTCAGTATGTAGTACTGTTGTCATATGTTGTCACTGTGGTCAGTATGTAGTACTGTGGTCAGTATGTAGTACTGTGGTCATATGTAGTCACTGTGGTCAGTATGTAGTACTGCGGTCATAATGTAGTCACTGTGGTCAGCATGTAGTACTGTGGTCATAATGTAGTCAATGCGGTCACTATGTAGTTCTTTGGTCATAATGTAGTCACTGTGGTCAGTATGTAGTACTGTGGTCATAATGTAATCACTGTGGTCATAATGTAATACTGTGGTCATAATGTAGCCACTGTGATCAGTATGTAGTTCTGTGGTCATAATAATGTGGTCACTGTAGTCATAATTTGGTCACTGTGGTCACTATGTAGTACTGTGGTCATTATGTGGTCAATGTGGTCACTATCTAGTACTGTGGTCATAATGTAGTCACTGTGGTCATATGTAGTACTGTAGTCATAATGTGGTCACTGTGGTCAGTATGTAGTCACTGTGGTCATATGTAGTCACTGTGGTCATATGTAGTCACTGTGGTCAGTATGTAGTCACTGTGGTCATAATGTAGTCACTGTAGTCAGTGGGGGCACGGGTGGCCCAGTCGTCTAAGGCGCCGCGATTCGCTGTGCAGAGTTGCGTCCCTATGATTGTGGGTTCGAATCCCGGTTCGCCCCGATTATGTTTCTAGGTTTGTCAGCACCAAACCCGTGCTCGTGGGTTTCACCGAAGTGGTAAACGTCTGAGACCTGCATCACTTCGGGCTTTCTTCCCACATTAAGCTGACACGCCGTGATATAACTGGAATAATGTTAAAAGCGACGTTAAACCCAACTCACTCACTCACTCACTGTGGTCAGTATGTAGTTCTGTGGTCATAATGTAGTCACTGTGGTCACTATGTAGTACTGTGGTCATTATGTAGTCACTGTGGTCATATGTAGTACTGTGGTCATAATGTAGCCACTGTGGTCACTATGTAGTACTGTGGTCATAATGAAGTCACTGTGGTCAGTATGTAGTACTGTGGTCATAATGTAGTCACTGTGGTCAGTATGTAGTACTGTGGTCATAATGTAGTCGTTGTGGTCACTATGTAGTACTGTGGTCATAATGTGGTCACTGTGGTCAGTATGTAGTACTGTGGTCATAATGTAGTCACTGTGGTCAGTATGTAGTACTGTGGTCATAATGTAGTCACTGTGGTCAGTATGTAGTACTGTGGTCATAATGTAGGCAATGCGGTCACTATGTAGTTCTGGGGTCATAATGTAGTCACTGTGGTCAGTATGTAGTACTGTGGTCATAATGTAGTCACTGTGGTCATAATGTAATACTGTGGTCATAATGTAGCCACTGTGATCAGCATGTAGTACTGTGGTCATAATGTAGTCACTGTGGTCAGTATGTAGTCACTGTGGTCACTATGTATTTCTGTGGTCATAATGTGGTCACTGTGGTCACTATGTAGTACTGTGGTCATAATGTGGTCAATGTGGTCACTATGTAGTACTGTAGTCATAATGTGGTCACTGTTGTCAGTATGTAGTTCTGTGGTCATAATGTGGTCACTGTGGTCACTATGTAGTACTGTGGTCATAATGTAGTCACTGTGGTCATATGTAGTACTGTAGTCATAATGTGGTCACTGTGGTCAGTATGTAGTCACTGTGGTCATATGTAGTCACTGTGGTCAGTATGTAGTCACTGTGGTCATATGTAGTCACTGTGGTCAGTATGTAGTCACTGTGGTCATAATGTAGTCACTGTGGTCATATGTAGTACTGTTGTCTTAATGTAGCCACTGTGGTCAGTATGTAGTACTGTGGTCATAATGTAGTCACTGTGGTCAGTATGTAGTACTGTAGTCATAAGGTAGTCACTGTGGTCAGTATGTAGTACTGTAGTCATAATGTAGTCACTGTGGTCAGTATGTAGTACTGTGGTCATAATGTGCGTTGTGGTCACTATGTAGTACTGTGGTCATAATGTAGTCATTGTGGTCATATGTAGTCATTGTGGTCATATGTAGTCACTGTGGTCAGTGGGGGCACGGGTGGCCCAGTCGTCTAAGGCGTCGCGATTCGCTGTGCAGAGTTGCGTCCCCATGATTGTTGGCTCGAATCCCGGTTCGCCCCGATTATGTTTCTAGGTTTGTCAGCACCAAACCCGTGCTCATGGGTTTCACCGAAGTGGTAAACGTCTGAGACCTGCATCACTTCGGGCTTTCCTCCCACATTAAGCTGACACGCCGTGATATAACTGGAATAATGTTAATAGCGACGTTAAACCCAACTCACTCACTCACTGTAGTCAGTATGTAGTTCTGTGGTCATAATGTAGTCACTGTGGTCACTATGTAGTACTGTGGTCATAATGTAGTCACTGTGGTCATATGTAGTACTGTGGTCATAATGTAGCCACTGTGGTCAGTATGTAGTACTGTGGTCATAATGTAGTCACTGTGGTCAGTATGTAGTACTGTGGTCATAATGTGGTCACTGTGGTCATATGTAGTCACTGTGGTCAGTATGTAGTACTGTGGTCATAATGTAGTCAATGTGGTCAGTATATGTAGTTCTGTGGTCATAATGTGGTCACTGTGGTCAGTATGTAGTACTGATCAGTGAGTGAGTGAGTGAGTTGGGTTTAACGCCGCTTTTAACAGTATTCCAGTCATATCACGGCGTGTCAGCTTAATGTGGGAGGGAAGCCCGAAGTGATGCAGGTCTCAGACGTTTACCACTTCGGTGAAACCCACGAGCACGGGTATGGTGCTGACAAACCTAGAAACATAATCGGGGCGAACCGGGATTCGAACCCACAATCATAGGTTTCTGGCGTGCCCAAGGGACGCAACTCTGCACAGCGAATCGCGGCGTCTTAGACGACTGGGCCACCCGTGCCCCCTATGTAGTACTGTGGTCATAATGTGGTCACTGTGGTCACTATGTAATACTGTGGTCATAATGTGGTCACTGTGGTCACTATGTAGTACTGTGGTCATAATGTGGTCACTGTGGTCACTATGTAGTACTGTGGTCATAATGTGGTCACTGTGGTCATATGTAGTCACTGTGGTCAGTATGTAGTACTGTGGTCATAATGTAGTCAATGTGGTCAGTATATGTAGTTCTGTGGTCATAATGTGGTCACTGTGGTCAGTATGTAGTACTGATCAGTGAGTGAGTGAGTGAGTTGGGTTTAACGCCGCTTTTAACAGTATTCCAGTCATATCACGGCGTGTCAGCTTAATGTGGGAGGGAAGCCCGAAGTGATGCAGGTCTCAGACGTTTACCACTTCGGTGAAACCCACGAGCACGGGTATGGTGCTGACAAACCTAGAAACATAATCGGGGCGAACCGGGATTCGAACCCACAATCATAGGTTTCTGGCGTGCCCAAGGGACGCAACTCTGCACAGCGAATCGCGGCGCCTTAGACGACTGGGCCACCCGTGCCCCCTATGTAGTACTGTGGTCATAATGTGGTCACTGTGGTCACTATGTTATACTGTGGTCATAATGTAGTCACCGAGGTCACTGTGGTCATATGTAGTACTGTGGTCATAATGTGGTCACTGTGGTCACTATGTAGTTTTGTGGTCATAATGTGGTCACTGTGGTCATAATGTGGTCGTTGTGGTTACTATGTAGTACTGTGGTCATAATGTGGTCACTGTGGTCACTATGTTACACTGTGGTCATAATGTAGTCACTGTGGTCACTATGTAGTACTGTCAGTAAAAACATGACGTTTTCGTATTGGCCACAGTCGGTTTACCTACGAATATCTGCTTTAAACAGATGAGGACGAGCCTCCTATGTTTATCCCTTGTGATGAAAGGTTCACCGTGAAGCATATGTATTGCTTGACTGTGTGGACTTTGCAATTGCAAGGGATTCACTTTATCAAAGCGTTAATCTGGCAGATCTTTTCCGGCGTTAGCGGGCATCTCATCTTAAGTTACTTGAAATAAATTGGTCTGTATAATACATTTCAAATATGTTTGTGAATAATTAATTGTTTGTTTTTAAATTTGGTGTAATGATTTGACCAACTGACCCATTATTGAAGGGCCTGTCCAGGAGGTTAAAGTACCATCAACTTATTGTCCCCATGTGTAACTATCATCATGGCCTAGCTTTGGCTACTTGTGGCCCATAGCCCATGTTTTAAACTGTTTAAATTATATTGTTTTGACCAAAATTATATGTGATACAATTTGTTTTTAACATGACTTCATGACTCACTCGTGTATATTTGAACGTGTTCTCGTTGGTATATGACTAGAATAATGCTGATGTGACGTTAAATTTTAACTTGCTCATAGATTGACACTGACCCAGGTTCTATATGGCACGAATGGAACAGTAGATTTTCATGGCGAAGGTCATCTGTTATCAATATCTTGGAAGCAATCAGATCCCAAACTGTGGCCTGGGGAATGTTCACCAATTCTGCCTGCAGTTATTGTGCCAACTCTCGGCGGTTCTGTGGTTGTTGCTGACGTGCTCGCAGTCGTTGATCCAGTGCATCACATAAATGTTCGATTGGTTTAAAATACGGAGACCTGGAGGGCCATGGCAGTACCTGATTCCTGAAAAGATTGTTGTCATTCCTGCTGTGTTGCCTTGTTGGAAAATGACGTTCGCTTGCTGATTAATGGGAAGGAAGTGTGGCTGAAGATCATCATCCGTACATCGTTGTGCTGTTAAATTCCACAAAACTTGCACCAAGTCTGTTATACCAGTGTAGGAGATGGCAGCCCACATCATCACACCACCATCCCCAAATCTGTCCACATCCTATATGCAGTTTCGTGCATAACGTTCCCCGCGACGCCTGTACACGATGTCTACCATCCGCAGGGCGAAGCATAAAACGGGACTCGTCACTAAACCAAACCTGTCCCCATCGCAGTTATGTCCATACTCTGTGATTGTGACACCATTGACGTCGCAGCTGACGAAGCGTATCCGTCAAAATGACACCTCGAACTGGTCGTCTAGCGCAAATACCTTCATCGCGTATACGGTTGCGTCAGTGGTTTCGCTGCTCACCTGCTGTAAGATTGTGATGGCATGCCAATGAAAACCCAACGTGTTTATAGCCCCAAAAGTGCTCGTGCATGTCATGTTGGTGTGTTTCGACGCCAGGCTCTGTCGTGATTTTGTTTGTGCGATTTTCACTAAATTTCTGCAGTACTGCATTCTTTCCACACAAATCTTTTCCAATCCATGCAGAAATGACCAATTCCATTTGGGTATTGATTGTGTATGGATGTCGGCATCACTGTCAGATATTTACGATATTACTACCTTGACATATAAAATAATGACTACGTTGAAAAGGGACACTTGACTAATAACATACCGCCACTTATCCGTTAATTCATAACACGACTTTGACTCCATTTGATTAAACATATTTGCGACAGTGTGTAGATAACAGGTTCTCCTTTAATAGTTCAGATGCCGTAAAATGAGACTATGCTTGTCGTAAGAGGCGACTAACGGGATCAGGTGGTCAGGCTCGCTGACTTGGTAGATGCATGTCATCGATCCCGATTGCGTGATCGATGATCATGATGTCAATCACTGGATTGTCTGATCCAGACTCGTTTATTTACAGACCGCCGCCGCCGTTAAACAACAAACAAACAAACATAGTCTAAATTATTCTTGTGATTGAATAGTTTCAGTGACACACGTAATTTTCACATCGATTGTCCATATATTCAATCTTTAGCAATCCATGCTTGTCTCAAGAGGCGACTAAAGGGACCAGGTGGCCATTGCGTAGATCATTGCTCATGATGTCAGTCATTGGATTGTCCCGGCCAGAATCTATTATTTACAGGCTGCCGCCATATAGCTGGAATATTTTTTTTTCTTTTCTTCACCCATTTGTAATGTTGAGTGTCGAGAATTCAGTGGAATTCATGATTTCTTCATGTGCAAATATTGCAAGTCATCTAACGACGGTTTATGCGCGGGATATCAGTTACATTGTTGACACTTGGTAAACATGCTGTGGGGCAGACTGTTGTCATTGGTTTATACGTGCTCGTTGACATGTACGTTTGTCATGCAATGCACGCATGCCCTGTCGAAGATTATTTCGTTTATCGTCATAAAGTCAAATCAATCGTTATAAGACCCGTGAAGATCCTGGGTTGAATAGATCTTCAGCAACCAATGCTTGCCGTAAAAGGCGACTATGCTTGTCGTAAGAGGCGACTAACGGGATCGGGTGGTCAGGCTTGCTGACTTGGTTGAAGCATGTCATCGATCCCAATTGCGTGGATCGATGCTCATGATGTCAATCACTGGATTGTCTAATCCAGACTCGATTATTTACAGACCACCGTCATGTAGCTGGAATATTGCTGAGTGCGGCGAAAAAGAACAAACCAGAGTAAGCGATATTCACAATATGACTGAAATATAATCTACAACATGTTAGATAAGCTGAAACATTTTAAATAACCTGAAACATTTAAAATGGTTTGCTTACACTTTACCTTTCAAATTACTCCTGACATTTTCTTTCGTCTGGATTCGAAAGTTGAAATGATTTTGAAGTGTCGACGTCGAACAACATCCGATATCAATGTTGAATTTTGGTTGGTAATTGTTTGAATATTTGCTCCATGGCTAAATACAACTCTTTATTATCAGGTAAAATTGACTCCCAAACTTCAATATGCCAGGGAGCTCAGGCGGAGGTCTAGGGTGATATCGTGTCGGGGGCAGGTCATTTTTTCCACGTAACAGACCCGTACAACACATGGTTTGATAAGAGTGAAATCCTGCACTTGGTACGAATGTTTGTTTTATTCGTCATCACTCAGGCGTTCATGGTGTCGTTATCTGGGGTCATAATGCCCTGATAAAGCGAACTGTCCTTGCAGTTGCGGTAAAATATAAAAATCTATGTCTATATGAATTCCTGTGGTATTCAAAACGTATTTGAAGCATATATTTTATATTAAGTAGCACAAATAAACGCACACACACAAACATACAATCACACACAAGCAAAAACACAAACACATAAATACACAAAAAGCCACATTAATAAGAAACCACAAATACTCAAGGACAACAATCACATGCACAAACACACCTACACAAACAAACATCACAAACACACAAAACTTCCATTCTCAATTAAAGCTTGTGTGTGATACTTAAGCCTCTAGTCTGTCACGCGGGGGACGTGCTGATCGACAAAAGACATGTATTGTTGGGTTTGGGGAAGTTACATCTCAATTATCGTTCCAGGATCCACGTCGTCGAGGTATATCGGCATGCTATCAACCAAGTCGCCGAGGCGACCCCGTCATATAGCTGGAACATTGCCGAGTGAGGCGTTAAACAACAAACAAACAAAACAAACAATCCGGAAAGATTATGTCACAATCATGCCATGTATGTCCACTAAAGCGGATCGGGTGATCAGACTCGGTGACGTCGCATCCTACCCTGATGGTTGATCGCTGATCATGCTTCTGAGACTAGTTTACCTGGTTGAAATTCCATTATCTACAAGACGCCGCGATTCAGCTGAAATATTGTCGAGTGCGGCGTTACAAAATATTCAACAGCTCACCTCCTATAATAAGAGGAAGAGAATGTTTTGCCGACTAGCAATCGGCGTACAATGCTGAATCATGTTTTGGGGTCAAAGGGGTCTAATTGATGCATGAGTATGGCAAATCAGCACGTAACTTGCAGAGATATCTGCAGGTGCTCACTTATGAAAGATAGCAATCGGCGTACAATGCTGAATCATGTTTTGGGGTCAAAGGGGTCTAATTGATGCATGAGTATGGCAAATCAGCACGTAACTTGCAGAGATATCTGCAGGTGCTCACTTATGAAAGATAACAAAGTGGCAAGATTTTTCCAAGTCACTATGATGACTCATGTTATGTAGGTCACGCAACAGAGTGTTATTTATTCGGTGCACCAGTGCAGGCAAGTGTGCACACTGCTGCATATAATTTCGCCATTGCAAGCTGCAGAGACATATCTAATATACTCGCCGCCGTGGGAGGTATAACATTCGGGAACTAAATTGTAATTCATACACACAGAATTGGTGCATCAGTGGGCTTCCTGTTACAATGGCACTGAGGGGAAAAGTTGCTATCATTACAGGTGAGATTGTTCGTTGTTAGCTCACCGGGTCCGAAGGCGAGCTTATGCCATACCGTGGCGTCCGTCCGACCGTCCCGTCGTCCGTACATCAACATTTTTTTCAAACGACTTCTTCTCTGGAACTAAGAGATAGATATAAACCATATTTGGTTGGAATCATTCTCCGGTGGTGAGTATTCAAAATTGTACATATGGTGGGGCTGATCCCCCAAGGGGCTAAGGGGGCGTGGGCAAATAGGGGTAATTTAATTGGCTATATTGCTTTAAGCGACTTCTTCTCTGGAACTAAGAGATAGATACACTACTGCCTAGAAGTTCATTCCCCTTACACGCATGGGCAACGCGTTACGCAACCCGTGTGCACCCCGTTGGTCACTGGTGTGGAACCTGTCCGCCACGCGTGTGATACCCATGTGCAACGCTTTGAACACGGGTGTGCAGCCCGTTCGTCACTCATGTGCAACGTGTGACACACCCATTACAGGGGGAACAAACTTTTGACCAAAGGAGGAACCGTGTTAAGATGAACTTGGAGGTGGTAACAAGGAGATATCTTTTTGAATTTCCTGACGAAAAATGTTAATACACATTTTATTATATGTACTTGCTGATGTCTCATTTTTAGATGTGACTTTGTTAAAAAAGTACTGTTGTGGCTTCTACATGATGTTTTGCAATGGTGTTAAGAGAAAACATGATCCTGTTAAATGTTATTGCTATTCACATGCATTTCTGTGGTATGACTTTCGGTGATCATGTTTATGAGGTTTGGCGGAGCATTGTTTTTATTGGACCCTAATTACTTTATGACGGTTGGGTCTTTTGTCTCAGCTCGACAGCCGTGACGCTAGGAAAGGGCAGCATTTAATTAATGAGAGTAGGTTATATCATGGAGGATACACTTTGGGGAGAGGGTTCTACTAATTACTGTACCACAGGAAGAGACCTGTAGACGTGAGCGCGGCGCATTGCATATGTCAATTGTGTTGAGCTTACAAGCACTTATTGCAATTTGTGGTGACATTTCTCATTAAAACATGAATTCTCATTTAAAACATTAAGTAAGTACGACAGTAAATAATAATATTCAAATCGCATTAAAATACAATGATAAAAGCCAGTTTTCCACATTCATAGCCAGGAGGAAAACTGATTAAACAAAGGGAAGAGGCTTGCCCTTACTTATATGTAGAGACATCATCTGAATATGGCTATATATAAATGTTATGATACTGTACCTATCTTCACGCATTATTAAAACATGGGCATATAGTTCACGGAGACGAAGGCTAGAGATACAATACGATATTCGATTTTTAGTTCATTATTTGATGATATATTCAGTTACTGATTTTTAAATACCGATTTTCTATATTAATAAACATTTCATGATAAAAAAATCGAATTTGTGATATAAATTCATTCTTTGATATCCATAAATGAATTATTGATATCATTTCTTTCATCTTATGAAAAACTGTTTAAAAAATAGCAACTTATAATAAACCAAGGTAATTATACTTACCCGACCTGCGTTTATGCATCTCTCTGTCATTATTATCGGTAACATGTGTCTAGTCTTAAGTGTATATACTTATGCCATACATGTACTGATTGGGATTAACATCATCGTAAGAAATATGTACTCCATATACATGCAGCACAACGGTTTTGATTCTATAGCACAGAAAATCGTTACCCCGAATTCCGTGTAACGGTTCACCCCTTGTTTTCAGACGTGCCATTCAGACCAAAAAGTCAGCTGTGACAGTTATCACAATCTCACCGGTTATAAAGATTTGATACATGCCGACTGACACTCTTGATGGGTCAGTGATTATGACAGCAGATCAATACACATGCTTCCTATTCAGTTTGTACGTATAATTACATGGCTGTGAGTATGAATGGTATGTATGGCTGTATGTATGATTACATGTATGTATGGAAATTATGTGTCCGTGCGTGTGTGTGTAAATGTATGTAAGCCTAGATTACAAAATAAATGCTTCGGTCGTTTGAAGCCAGAAGGCAGAGATATTCCCTACTCTCGCAGTTGGTCACGAGAGCTGAAAATTCTCTCGCAGATTTTTTTTTTAAATAAGGCGAGTTGAGCCGAGTAAGGTTAGGGATTATCGGCTGTTGTGTGAAAACAATGCTTCAGAAAGATAGACGTCCTGTCCCTGTGAACAAACCTACAGATTACGAATAAGAACGCCAAAACAGTCTGTCCGGTTTCTTAATAATGCTTAATTACTTTTGCTGGAGAATATGTTTCTTGTACGAGCGTTATAAAACATGTTAAAATCAAAATATATGAATGTTGAAGCTAGACTTCACTTCAGTTTTCCTTGATTTAGCAGGCCAATCATACTGAAAAACAGTCTAACTGTTTATACTACAAATCCTGCTATGCTACCGAGTGCGGCGTAAAACAACAAACCAAACCAAAAACATCGAACAAAGCTATACATTACTATTATAAAAGGCCTTAATCTTATCTTTACTTAAAACTTTCTCCCTCCGTAACACAATCCATATATGCTAGTATTATATTTAATATATCCGTATTTACATATATACATCATTTATAATTTATAGTCAACATATATACCTATAAATCTTTACTATACTCAATAACGTAATGTAATGTAATGTAATGTAATGTAATGTATTACATTAAACTTCCCCACAACAATTTAGTATGGTGGTTTATTTCTATTAAGTATATAATTTATTATTCAACCCGACATACCAATGAAATACAGGACTGTGAAGTTGACGTAAAACCTAAACATTGATGATGATTATAATATTCTCACGCGCAAAAGAAGCGCAAGTCGAGTATGCAGTATACATGTTATTTATTTTCAACAGTAAAGACAAGAAATACTAATAGGGCAAGATTGACAACAATTTGACTGAAGACAGTTTAATGGATTAAAAGGCCGATGACATAATTATTTTTTTCCAATGTTAAGGGCTTACACAGTTTCGGGTCAATACCCAAAATGTCAGTCAATACCTGGTGTGACCACCATTAGCGTTAATCACTGCCACACATCTCCTGTATCTTGAGTGGATCAGATGATTTGTGAAGGCCCTAGGGATCCTCCTGCACACATCCAGAGCAGCTGTGCATAGTTCATCGGCAGTTGTAGGGACTGGGCGCACATTGTGCAGACGCCTTTGAACCTCATCCCACAAGTGTTCGATGGGGTTCAGATCAGGGCTGAGGGCTGGCCACGGTAGAACACGGATGTTGTATTGTTGCAGAAAGGTCATGGTAGCTCTGGCAACATGGGGACGAGCGTTGTCCTGCTGGAAAATGTGTTGTTGATGTTGTGCAAACAATGGAACAACGTGGGGTCTGATCACTTGGTCGATATACCGCTGTGCAGTGACGCCGTGTCCCCGACCTTGACCAACATTCAGAAAACACATGGGTCAAAGTCTCGCATTAAGTCCAATCCCTGCCCATATCATGACGCTAGGTCCACCCCATGGATCCCTTTCCACAACGTTTCTGTCAGCGAAACGATCACCTCGACGCCGCCAAATTCGGACTCTTCCGTCTGCATGGGAGACACAAAAGCGACTTTCATCAGAGAAGACGATACGCGTCCACTCACGATGACGCCAATTGTGATGACCCTGTGCCCACAGAAGTCGTGCTTGTCGATGCCGTGGTTGAAGAACAGGACGATGTGCTGGTCGGCGACACCTGAGGTTGTTGGAACGGAGACGTCGGATCACAGTGTCCCGGCTAATGTGTCGACTATGTGTTCCCATGGTCTGTCGAGCACTTTCACTTGCAGTTAGGAACGGATGTCGCTGGTGTTGACGGGTAATCTGCCGATCTTGTCGAGGTGTGGTGACCCTAGGACGACAGCTCCGAGGAAGGTCATCTGTGGTCTGTGTAGCATTGTATCGATGCAGGAGACGGTAAATTGTGGTTATGTTGACGTTGAAATGACGGGCAACATCTTGGACAGACTCTCCAGCTTCCAAACGTCCGATGGCCTGGTTTCTCTGAATTTGAGTTTGGCGTGGCATTGTTGACCAAGGAGTGGTAGGTCCAAGAATCGGCTACAGTTTTATACCCACCACAATTCGTGACAGTTCGTGCATTTTCGATTTCGCGAGAAATGGGTGCATGATACCCACATATTCATTGAAATGGTGCGTTTTGGCGATTCGTTTTTTACGTTGCGTTTTTACTCGGGGCTTCCAAAATGCAAACAAAAAGATTGTTAACACCATCAGGCTTCACTACATGCTAAAACTCGTATCAAGTTATGGTTCCGTGTTTGTTACCTATTTGCTTAAAACCACTTGCGTGTCTTTTGCGTGTGAGTATATAAGAATGTTAATGCAACGTGTGAAGATAAATTTAAATACGTTTGACACATTAACATATTTCAACACCCTTTTTAACGGTAATATTAGATACATTTAAACGTTGGTAGCATGTAACCGTTGAAATTAAAAGGACTACAAAAAGATGTATTTCTTATAATAGAAGGTCCATAAGGGTATTTAGTGAAGTACCGTAACTCGTTACCCAAAAATAGTTCTCTTGATATTCAATGCTGGACATTTCCCAACACCCCACTTTTTGTTGGTTTTTGGTAAAAGTTGATAAGAGGAGGTTTAGTGGGGGACTGGAGGTATCTTTTCAGGGGTTGTTATTGTGACATTACCCACTATTTACTGGAGGATATTGGAAATGAATATAGTATAGACTGTCATGTTGTCTGACTGCAGATAGGATTTGTAATCTTAGCAATCACTGGGGTTTCACATTAGGGGTTGTGATTTTTACAATTGCCCAAATGGTTCTGCTGCGTATTGGTGCTTAGTGGTGTCAAAGTTAACCCTTTTTTTTAGGGGAAATTGGTAGTGAATACTTAATACCATGTATACAGGATATCTTCAGGATTTTGAGCCCTTTCTTTCTCTGTGTGTAATTCTGATGGAAAGAAGTCACTCAACCAGAT